GGCATGAATTGCTCCTTTAAAAACTTAAACAAAATATTAAATATAAGGACCCATTTTATGTCAATTAGTTTTCTTCCTGGTTCTTGTGTCTCATTAAGCATGTGGATTTGACTTCTTTATATTTCATTTATACTTTCTTCCCTATGAAAAAATATTTAGGATTACTTATATCAAATGTTGTATAAGGTTTGTGATTCTTACCTGTCATGATATCATTTCCCTGGGATTTGGTTTGATACTTCCTTTATTCAAATTAGCTAATTAATTTGCTTATACAGTCCCTCTACCTCCCCTGCTACTGAAATTCTGTCTAGATGAAATGTTTTTATTTATTGAATCTCACTTAGTTATTCTCTAACAAAGATTCCCTCATAAAAATGACTAGTAGTTAGTACTCATCCACACACCAAAATACATGTAGAACTTTTCAAGGAAATCTTTGTCCTTAAACATAGTATTTCACCCATTTCTGTTCTAACACAGACTTCAGCTTGGATGTATAGCTTCTGCATAAAATTACTTAAAAATCTTCACAAATCTTTGCATAAATAGGTGCCATTATTTATTATTCCATATAACCATTGGAACACAAGTCTGAAGTACAGTAAAAGGAAAATACTTGTTGTAAACACATTCATAACTATACATGTTAAAAGCAATCCTCATCAAAAAATAGAAATCTTTACAGATCTAGTTACATCTAAGAAAATTCTCTAGAAAGGTTGCTTAAACCCCCTACAAACATTTCATATCACTCTTCTGCCAAAAACCTTCAAAGACACTCACTATCTACAAATCTCTTACTTTGACTTTCAACACCCTCTACTTCCTAGCTCCTATGAACTTATTTACATCCCAGAAATCCCATTTTGGTGCTATATATTTCAGCCAAAATGTGAACTATCGTTCTTTCAATATAGCCCCCAATTTCCCACAATTATGCATTTGCTCATGTTACAACTGAAATGACCCTATCCCTTATCCTCACCATTTAGATATACTAAAATCATACTAATTTTTCAAGACTTTCTTCAACTGTAACCTTGTGGTGAAATCTCAAATTGTCCCGGGCTGAAGCTATCTCTTAGTCCTTAAAACTTCCATAGTAAGTTCCTTATAGTTCTTTTACATCTCTTTCAATATCATTACATGACAAATATTGAACAAAGAACTTTGTTGCACATGTAACTAATCCAATAAAAATAATACCTCATATTAATAGATGCTATGTTTGATTTTTCAGAATTCTTTTACACACATTACTTAATCACTAGAACTCCAAATACTAACTAGTAAAATGATTATTACTGGCATTGTACAAATTATGCAGTATACAAGTAAAAATATACAGTGTATGATTTGTCTTGGACAATAAAATATCAAGACTCAAATAGCTCAAAATAACTTTTCCAAGTTAGAGCAGTTACTTAATGAAAGCCTTGGGCTTAGGAACCAGCTCTTGATATTTCTACTCTATCAGTTGTCTCACTTAATTAACCTTAGATACTAAGGTATTTTCAGTTTAAACAAGTTTGTATTTTTTGGTTTCAGTGTATCATTTGATGATTATCCTCACTGTGTTTTCTTCCATTCTAATATTCCATTATTAAAGTGGAAAATATCAAAAATATATTGAAGGACAAAAATAGATTCTGTGCTGATTTTTCAAGGTCTCACAATGAAATAATCCTGGCATTTAGAGTATGTCCTAAGTTTTTAAGGTTTTTCCTTCTACCTGAAGGAGAATAACACCTCTTGAGCTTCTGCTTTCCCTTATTTCTCCAATGCATACTGACTTTTAATCCACTGTGATCTTAGAATTAGCAATGCCATATTTAGTTTTTAAAAAGAGGAAGAGGAAAAGGGCTGCCACAACTTTCTCAAAGTTGGAAATCATTACTTTAGGCAGTACGGGAAAAGAAGATCTGCATTTTATACCAACCTTGAGCCCACCTAATTATAAACAAAATTATTTTCACCATATCGCAACCCAAAGAAAGTTGCCAAAAAAACAAATTATCTATTTAGCAAATCTGAGCCACAGGAATAAATGATTCATATGCTGAATATTTGATGAGAAAAAATAGGGTCTTTCTACAAAATTGCAGGGCTTAAGTGATAAAGATGTTAAATAAAAATTAAAATTTTTAGCTTCAAAGCTTAGAGTATACTGTATAAATATATAATGCAGTTTATAAAAAAATCTGTTGGATTTGTAGTTTAAATTATTTAATCAGAGCTATTCTGTCATAGTCACTTCCAGGTGGATTTCTTGTTTTCAGGCACCCAAAAGTTGTATTTGACAATAAATAATAAAAATGACAAATATCTAGCCTCCTATTATAAAGAGAAGTCAAATTTAACAGTGGAATTATGAAAAGCATAAAACTTGAAAAGCAGAAAATGGAATGACATGCTATATATGTGGCAAAGTATAGAGATTAACAGCATGAGTTCTGGGGTCATGTTACTTGTGTTTCAGCCCCGACACCTTAATATTAACTGTGTGATGTCCATCTAGTTACTTAACTCATCTTTCACTAACTTTAATCATATGTAAAACAGGGGTATAGTAGTATCTTCCTCATGGGGTTGTTTTGAATGTTAAAATAATCTGTGGAACATATTTGGCAGAGAAAGCTTTTAATAGGCTTTACTTATCATCATCATCAAAAGAAAACAAGACTAACAAGTTTAAAGGACTTCAAATTGTTTTGTCTCTGAAAAAATACATTGGGGATGATCTCCCATCTTCACAGAATATTAGAAATAGAAAGGAGAGTTTAAGATTCTCTAATCCACACTAACCCACACCCATATCCTATTCATCAAAGGAGGAAACTGGAGCTCAGGAAGATGACACGAGTTGTTTAATATCACATAGCTGGTGTTATATAACTAGAATTAGAACCCAGGGCTCCTGACTCCATGGCCAGGTCTCTTTCCATGATTTATAATAGTCACCACCACCCTTCCTCTTCTTTTAATTATTTTGTTTTAAGTAATGTAAGGCTGTGGCACAGAGGGCATAAGAACAAAGGATGTAGATTTAGACCCTTATTCCTGAGGTACCTTTAAAACTAAGACATCCTCTCCATTCACATAGTTTGTGTTTCTGGGGTGACGTGCTGCAATCCTGCCCATAGCGAGATACCACTGAAGTGCCTTCCATTATCAAGATAAAGTTCATTTTGGACATTTACTCAATCTTACCTAAATCTGTAGACTTCCAGGCAAAAGTGTTATCTTTAGCAAGTATTTCTGGAATTAATAAACTTTTTCCACCTTATAATCAACCTTATATGATTTCAGTTCACACTGGTCAATATCATATGTTTAATGTCCGACGCATATTGGTATAGACATTTGGGAATTTAATTGAATTAGTATCTGTTAAAACAAATAGTGCACACACTCTGTGCTCCAGCAATGCTGCTTCTTTGTGGGATTTTAGAGTAATTCTCACAGTGCACCAGAATACTCATTGCAGTGTAGAGAAAACCCCAAAACAATGTAGACTCTGATAAATGATATTGAACAAACACAATGGAACATTATGTATCAATTTAAAATCATGAATTAAGACATATATCTAATCTATAAAACAAGCAATATTGCAAAGAATAACAGCAACCAATATTATTATTTATCCACATATATTTATGTAAAGATACATCTGGCAATGATGGTTACTTCTTGGTAAGGGATTCAGATGGAAAGAGGATGGTTAAGGGAAGGTATTTGACTTCATAGGGGAAGATCTGTATATAATTTTATGTTAGAATGTGTTCATGTACTATTGCACAATTAAAAACACTCCCTTCCCCCTTTATCTCTCGGCACATGCTCCTCTTGTATCTGAAGGCCAAACCCACCTGATCTTGGTTGTATTTGTAACCATTTTCCTAACCGAAGAACATGTACCTGTTAATTATCTGCATATGTCAAGCACTTTTCCTCAGCTACAAACAGAAATCTGAGAACGTGCCCAAAGGCTTCCTTGTAACATTGAGCTTGCATTATTGCTCTTGATTTAACAGGCAAAGGGGGAATGAAAATGTCAGAAGTTGAACCAAAGGAAAAGCAAAAGAAAAACTAAAACTACAGTGTGAAGAATATTTGACAGAGTAAATGCATAGTCCTATTTTAAGAACAGCATGTTACATTGACATTATAGCTGTACTTCCATATGAGTCTGCCAGTGCACCCTTTGTAAGCCTGCACTCTGACTTTTAATGACCTCCTTGTTCTAAAGAAAAAACTTCTTGTATCATTGTGGGAATATATCCTGCAGTTGTAGCAATTGGTTGTAAATTATAGTAATGTATGAAGAGATTAAGTAATGCTACCAATTCTTTGAACACTAATAAAGTTATGCATCTTTGCTTATTTGAGAAAAAATAAAGAATGCCAAGACAATCAATAGAATTACTTTTATCTACTCATCATTAAAATCATACTGTCAGTTTTATGGACTGCTTTTAAACATCAGAACCTACTCTTCAAAATTAAAGCAGAAGCAGACCAGATAAAGCATGACTATAAGTCAGCTTGAAAGAATATAGGTGTAGTAGTCTTTAGTTGAGATTTCAAAGGCAGTTTCCTGTATTGGTTTGAGAATTTTTACATTTAATGTTTTTCATTGATAAATTTTGCATCTTGTTTTAATTGCAGACATATTATACATTGGGGTGTAGATTAGCAGAGTTCTCAAAAAAAAGGAAAAGGAATTCAACCTAGAAGTATAAGAAGGACGATTATCAAGAAATTACTCTTAAAATTATTTTATAATTGGGTTACTGACAAGGCTGACAAGAATTCAGTAATATGCTCTTTGGATAGATGGACATCATCTAGGAAACCATAAAATATTCCTCCCTCTCATAATTTGAATTAGTATAAAAATAAAGAAAATAATACCTCAAGAACATGAGACATTCAAATGGCACTGTTCAAGAACAATTTCTGACTCCCCCCTTCTTTTTTGTTTCTTTCAACAGGAACTGCATTCTCCAACTCTGAAAATATCTACTTGTACTCCAAACGCTCTGCACATAACTACAAATACTGAACAGGTAAAAGATTTTATAGATTGGATTGGATTATTTTCTTCTTATGTAAGCCTTGCTTAGATGTTTAAATAATCTTTGGGCCCTCAGAAGGCTTTACACATTGAAAAATATCCAGAACAAAGAACTAGAAAGAGTATTTTCACATATGAGGATTGGCTCAGTCCATCTGAGAACATGAAATAAGTGCTGAAATAATTGCTGTGAACGGAGATTTTTCAGTTTCATTGTCTGCTCAATCTGATTGCTTTTAGTTTGAGTGAAGTTTATTTCTAGCCAAGGATATCCTTGTGATTATGTATATTTTAAGGGTCCTTGATTTGACAACAAATGAAGTACACTGATCTGGGACTGATTGAGGTTGACTTGTGGGAGTGATAGTACTGTAAGCCTTCTTTCAGAGAGAATAACTAACAGTGCCTTCTGGCTAGTCCTTCTCAAAAGTTCATGATTGAAGCCCTGGCTGGCATAGCTCAGTGGATTGAGTGCGGGCTGAGAACCAAAGTGTCACAGGTTCGATTCCCAGTCAAGGTACATGCCTGGGTTGCAGGCCATGACACCCAGCAACCACACCACAAATTGATGTTTCTCTCTCTCTCTCTCTCTCTCTCTCTCTCTCTCTCTCTCTCTCTCTCTCTCTCACACACACACAAAATAAATAAATAAAATCTTTTAAAAATCTTTAAAAAAAGTTTATGATTGAAAAGACACACAAGTGTCTAGATTCCTTACTATTTATGACCTAATAACCCCTCTTTAAAGATTATTTTTGAGCCCAAGCATTATATCTTCAAAAGGTACTATAAGTAAATACCACATTAAGAAATATGTGTTTAATGAGCTAGTTACCATATTTCAAAAAGAAAATTCTAAGAATATAAAATATAAACCATCCAAAGTTTGTTACTACATAGGAAGGGAGTACAAACTATATGAGATTTGGAGGATGAGAGAGAGAAAGATGCTATTCTAAGATGAGGTGCCAGGGTGTGAACTTGGACAGTACAGGGACAAATGGACAAAACTGGTCTCTGGAACTTGGGTGCAGTAAAGAAAAGGTGATGTTATGTAAAACAAATAAGATAACCAGAGAAAAGTTTGCCTAGTTCTTCCTAATTTGACCTAACCTAGAGCTAGGTCAGTAACAGTCATGCATCTATTCAGCAAACATTTGCTTAGTGCTGAGTATGTACCAAATATTACATAAAGGTTAATCAGATCCAATCACTATTCTCAAAGAGTTCACAGACTAGCATGGGTCACATACATGACAAAACATAAGAGAGTGGGATAAAGGCCACAATTGAGGTAAAAAATGGAGCCCTGTCTTTTACATTTATCAAGGTAGAATTACCTCTGAAAAGCCCACTTACATCACAGCACTGTCCACTATACTTAAATCCACTCAGAAAACTTCATTAAATGATATTTTTTATAATAAAAGGGCTTTAAAACTGGGTTTACTATATGTATTATTTCTGACAATAAAAGTATGTGTTTATTGTAGAATTGTGGCACTATAGAAGAATATAAAGAACAAAATATAACTCACTAATGATCCCCTCCCCTAACCAGAAATACTACTCTTAGCATTTCGTTTTCTTCCATTCAAATAAAAAATTGTGCTCATAGCACACATACAGTTCTATATCTTCATTTTTCACTTAACCTCACATAATATTGTAAGCTTTTTTCATGGAAATTTGTATTACTCAACATAGTTATTTTGATGGCTACATATTTCTGCCTATGGGTGATTATTTAATCTTTCCCTTCTCCATAGGAAAGTGTTCCTTTTACTGCACCCTATCAACATTATTGGTTTAAAATTTTTTCCAGTTAAAATATGACATTTTAAAAAATATTTTTTATTTATTTCTAGAGGGAGGGGAAGGAAGGGAGAAAGGGAGAGAAACATCAATGTGCAAGAGAAACATTGGCTGCCTCTCCCACACCCCCAGCTGGAGACCTGGCCCACAACCCAGGCATGTGCCCTGACTAGTAATTGAACCAGCCACATTTCAGTTTGCAAGCTGGTGTTCAGTACACTGAGCCATACCAGCCAGGGGGAAATATGACATTTTTTGTAATGTTTATTTGATTCCTAGTTTGGCTAAATACTTTTTCTTAATTAATAGCCATTTGCTTTTCTTCTATTTAAATGTTCATGCTGTTTGTTCATTTTTCTATTAGTGTGAAGATTTTTTTCTTATTGAGGTATAATAACTCTTATTGTATTAATAATACCAACCCTTTTTCCATTAAAAGTTTGCAAATGACTTTGTTTTAGTGTTTTGTCTCCCTTTTAATGTTACTTATGGTCCTCCCCTACCACCACACTGAATATTTAAATATTTAAAGACACACACAAATACACAAATACATTTTTTTCTCTTTGCATCTCCTCCCATTTTTAAAAATGTAGGGTGTCCTTTTCAAAGAGATTTAATTAATAAGTATTAAGGTATATTTTTCTAATCATGTGGGAGCATGTGAAATGAAAGAAATATTTTGAAACACTCATCAAATATAATTTAGAATGTGTGATGAATTTACTGTGAGGCAAATATAATAGAAATACCTAGCAAATAAACATGTTTCATATATGTTTTTGAAACTGAAATTAACTAAAACACAAATTCAGATGTCATCATTTATGCAAATGACTAACAATTTTACTCTGTAAATTACTCCCCATTATTATTGATGGTTCGGAAGTCACTAAGTAACTATAATTATATGCATTTTTTAAATCTTTTCTTCACAGGAACTCCATTCTCCAACAGTGAAAGTCACTTCATATCCACAGACCACTATTAGGAGATATATAGTACAAAATCCTGAACAGGTAATCTATGTCATGCAAACTCTTGTTCCAATATATAATTCCTTAGAAGTGCATAGTGTAACGAGAAAAGGTGAGTCGGTTACCATATCCCTAAAATCAGATTGTTGGACTTTCTTCTGATTATAAAGTTAATTTCTAATCATCTTTAATTCTAAGGAACCATACATTCTGACTCAGAGCTGAAACAGTTCTAAGCAGCACAGAAATCCGTGGGTTATAAAGTCTTTCAGCTTCTATAGCCCCACCCTTGTGCTACAAAGTATTTTTGTGCACTTTGAACCAAAGAAAAAAGAGACAAAGTTCTACCATAGGCTCCACATAAAAAACAATGAGTTGTTAGATCAGCGGTTAGAGTCTTTAGTCTATTTACATAGGCCATTCACATACTAGTTTGCAAGAGGAAAATGAAAAGTCAGAAGTTCCAAAGTGTTCCCATGCCTTGATTGCCTGCCTATGAAGTAAGAACTTTTGTGCCTATTGATGAGCTATTTTGAAAATTTCATAATTATATTTTCTCTTAAACTATATAACCTTATGTTTTATGAACTAGGATATTATTATCTGTCTAATTTTGAGGATAAAATTAAGACAACTTCCCCTCCCCACAGTAATAAGCCTTCCTCAAACCCCCCCCTCCCCACACATACATACACACTTCTTTAGCAGCAACAGTTAAGTTTTTCTTGGGGTTATAAAGACAGAAGTTCACCTAATAGAAACAGTGTGCTCCAGATAACAATACAGCAGTTCTTTGCTTTGCTCTTTGTTGTGAATCTCTGCTTCTGCAGGAAACAATCCTTCCCTCTTTCACAAAATAAATTTGATCATTTGCTACAGCTGTGGAAAGCAAAGGGTTAAATTAGGGTAACACACTTGCTACTATTCTATGTAGATGGGGAAATGTACTATTTTTTTTTATTTTATCTATCTCGCCTCTTCTTTATTTTAAAATCACTTTCTCATGTCTCTTTAGCTAGAGAAGCTGTTCTGCTTGTGTGTGTGTGTGTGTGTGTGTGTGTGTGTGTGTGTGCCTGTGAGCATGCAGTCTCTGTTGGAGGTGATTGTTTCAGACATTTGCTTGCGGTTTCATATATCTATGTAAATATCAAATGAGACTATGATTACAGTAAAGCAGTTGCTTGCTCCTTCTTTTGCAGAATCAAATGTTTAAGCAAAAAAATTGCAGCGTGTGTGGGAGAGGAGGTCATGAGGAGGGCCTGGAGGATGAGAGAGTACCTCTTTCACACACACACGAGAGCATGTGCATATTTGCATGCATATTTCATTTGATAACCCTGGCTTTCAAATAATTAATTTTAGATGGTGATTTTTTTTCATAATGTGAGAACTGCCATGTTTGCTGAACATATATCCACAGAGAGATTTAAAATATCAAATCATTTGAATTCCAGCCCACTTTGCTAGTGATTCTTATGTGACTTTGGATGAATTATTATTCTTTAGTTAATGGGGAAAGGGAAGAATTAATATTTATTGGATATACACTCTCTGCTAGGCAATTTACATATTTTATCCCCTTTAATCCTAAAAGGGTGAGAAAACAGAAGCACAGAGAAATCAGAACTCTGTATGCAAGTGTGTAACATATTTGTAACAGTGCACCTGCTTATTATTATGGCATTATATGAACATTATTATGTTCAACTACAAGGAAGCAAACAGTTTCTTTGGGAGAAGCCCCAATAGAGGGTTAAAGCAAAATAATCATTTTAATGCTTTTAACTCTTTCCAGTTTTGAGGAATAAAACAAAATTCAATCTAATGTTTTATAAACAAAAATAATCTAATTGGTTTTACCAAACAGCTTGAAAACCCTGTCTAGATATATTCTCCATTTTATTTATCTTAAGTATATGCCTTTTCATTTGTTCTTTTAAATTTCCCCAGGAGAAGATTTTGGCTTAATTACAATATTTATAATAAGCTGAGCCTCCTAAGTGGCAACCGTATCCTTTTTCACCTCCCAGTTTGTGTAATCTTTACTTCTCCCTGTAATTAAACTGATCTCGTTCCACTTCCACTTTTGTCATTATGACTTCCTTCAACCTTTGTTCAGTCTTTTTATTTTTGGTTGTTCCTGACCTTCTTCATTCTTTATTTATTGTCATTTTTTGTCACAGGATTTATGCATTATAGTATATAACTTGACTGAGCCATGAGGGAAATCGTTTTATTCCTTCAAGTAGATAGTCTAATTGATAATAATCAGTTTCATTAATTTTCCCACATGACGCTCCTATCGCAGGAAGAGCGCTCTACAAACAGCCTTCAAACAAACAAGCAAACAAAAGGAAATAAGACATGGTTGCCAAACCAAAGGATCTTACAATTCCTCTCAGGAAGGGAAGTGAGATAAGGGCCACAAAAATCTATACAAAATACATGGTGACATGTGTGATAGATGCCATGAGAGAAATGCAGATGAAGTCTTATTGGACTATAGAGGTTGGACATAACATATTTGTTTAGGGGAGGGAATCAGAGAAGGTTTTATCATGGTATTTAAGGTATTATTACAATTTAACATGGTTTTTAGTATCGTTTTACTAATGAGGAAACTGAAGCTTAAGTCAGTGTGACATGCTCAGGTCTTCTCAGTCAAATCTTTCCCTCTTTGTCTTTTCTGACAGTTATTCTGGGACTAGTTTTGATAGATTTGATAACATACTGGATATGGGGTCAAAAGCAACAAAAATAGTCATATGTGACCCTAAGATTTTCAGTATGAGGTAGTGGGAGTATGGTAGGCTAATTAAAAGGGCAAAGAAGTGAGGAGGAGGAGAAGCTGGTTTGGGAAAAGGGGAGATTCAATATTTGTTTGAATCAGTGGTGTTTGAGGTGCATAGGAAGGAAAATGCCCAATAGGCAGTCAAAAATGACCTGGAGAAAGGCCATATTTGAGGTAGAGGCCATCATAGTTATTCCTCTCAAAATTGTCATTGTAGCTATGGGAACGGGTGAAGCAACTAAGGGGTAATGGGGAAGGTTGACGTTAGGACCTTAGAAAAGTCCTACTTTAAGGGAACAGAAGGCAAGAATCACATACACAGGCAGAGGATCTGCCACAGAGGGACATGAACACAGAGTAACTGAAGCGAATTCAGAAAGGGGGTGGTCAATGGTCTGAAACAGCAAAAAGGCCAAGGAAGATGATGTTTGACAATAGAGCAGGACCATCAGGAAAGCACTGGTGACATTTGAGAAATCATTTTTGGTACAGCTGTGGAGGCAAAATCCAGATGCAAAAAGTTAATAGATGAATAGGTCAAGAAGTGGAGGAAATAAATGATGAGTACTCTTTTTTTTTTAAGATGTTATTTATTTTTAGAGGAAGAAGAAGGGAAGGAGAGAGGGAGACAAACATCAATGTGTGGTTGCCTCTCAAATGCCCCCTACTGGGGACCTGGTTCTCAACCCAGGCATGTGCCCTGACTGGGAATTGAACTGGTTTCCCTTTGGGTCACAGGCTAGTGTTCAATCCACTGAGCCACACCAGCCAGAGCCTCTTTTAAAAAAAGATATTGGTCAAAGGAAGAAGAGATGGGATAGTAGCTAAAGAAAAAAAAAACAAAAGTTTGGACATCTGAGACATTTGTATATAGAGAAAAAAATAGTAGTTAGGAAGACTAAAGATTCATCAGAGAATGGAGACAACTGGGATAAGATTCTGGAAGAGACATGAAAGGGAAGAATTCTAGGTACAGATAGAGAAGTGACTTCAAGGAAAATAAAGAGGACTATGTCTTTCACTGTAATGAGATGGAAAGAGCAGAAACTAAAATGAGATTTTTGAGGTGGGGAGGACAATGAAGTAACCACATGGGATAGATTATCTTGGTTTCCTCAAAAAGTAGAAGGGCAATGAGGGAACATGAGCATAGAGGACTGAGGAAAATTAAAATACTTTGTAACCACAGTTATAGAGAATTTGATGAATACAAATATGACAGTGAGGGTTGGGAGGGCCTCTTAACTTTGGATAACTTGAATCTGTACTGAATCTAGCCATTTATTTTTCTTCAGCAAGGTTTCATGGCCTGGGAACAGTAAAGTAGATGTTAGGGATTATGGACTTTGTAAGTTGTGAGAACTATTGCCAGAGGTCCTAAAAGTAACAATTATAATTATAAGATCAGCCATCTTTGAAAACACCTGTTAATTTTTAGGGTGGATCTGGCAGCAATTCAAATGCACAGGCAGAAAAAAAAGAAGCTGCCAAAATAGTTAAAGTGTTTAGGAGCTCATTTGTGAGAAATCTAAGACTTCAGATTGAATTTATTTTCATAATCTGTTTTACTCAGAATGACTTGTTCATAGTACTATTCAGTTTTACCTTCTTATAGATTTTGGGAAAGTAATAGTCCTCTAAATTTTGAAGTATTTTTCCAATAAGTTATTTAAAATCAGAAGTCCAACACTCATTTCAGAGAGAATCAATACCTAACACATCTTTCTTCTAAAAAAATAGCAATAATTTGGCGTTTATAGTAAAGTTTACTTCACAGAGAAGAAAATTTCATTGTTTTTTGCTAAAATTCTTCTTCCCCTCTTAGAAGATGCTGTATCTTTGAGATGAAGGTTCAGCTCTTCTCTTTTCACCCAATCAATCATCTGTTCATTCACTATGTGGTATTCAAGATTGATATAAACTCTAGTTTTGTATATTTTTTACCCTCTTCAATATGTTACATGATTGCAAAGAAGTATCAAAGAGGCTGTTTTTCAAAAATAAACACAAAATAGTTTCTAGGGAAATTTATCTAAATACATTCATTTTTACATTTAATAATTCATCAACTAGTCAAATTTAATCACTTACATGCTTTTTTTTTAACCAAAGTATCCCAAGGACATTTAGTTAAAGCACCCTTTGTTGAAATGTTAATATAAGAAGTATGTAGCTTTGGGTTCAAGAGTGTCTTGTGTTTCAATAACCAGTGTTTTAAGTCTGGTCTTCTAAGATATTTTGCAATAGCAGACTCCAAAATTGCTAGAACCTTTTGTTGATTTTGAAATGGTCCTTAACACATCAACTGGTAACATGTTTGACCAATCCTTTTGTAAACTGTTGCCCTATATACAAAAATAGATGAATGCAAATTTTGGTTTGTAACAAAATAACTCCCACTCTCCCTGTACAAGTTAAAGACTCAAATGAAAACCAAAAACAGGAAAAGAACTGTAATATAGTATATATTACATTTATTTCAGACTCCTGGTCTGATTCCTATTAGCTCTTCCCCGCTCTCTTTAAGATCATGGACATGTCACCAGCCTTTATTTCATTAGCTGACATGTTCTAACATAATGCTACATCAATTTAGATGATTATATGGAGATACAGTGGCCATTAAAACATCAACTCTGTTCTCACTGTTCAAAGTATACGTTATACTGAGAGCCTTAGCTTTGATTTTAATCACAAGTAAGAAGCGTACTCTTCAAAAGTACCCCTGAGTTCCAGGAAAAAAGTATTTAATATAGTTCTCCGTACTTTATTGCTCAGTGGTGCTGACTTACATTTATTTTGCATTCCTCCGATAATACTTTTGCATAGAGAGAAACCTGCCAGTGAACCCAATTTAAATGAGGTCGACCTCATGCTTGTGTACCTCAGAGAAAACTCATTATATCTTGCCTTAGGAATAAAAACAAATTATCTCTTCCGCCCCCTTCTTATTTCCCCCAAACACTGTGTTAGGCCTGCTTAAATGTAATAGGAGAGATCCTGTTTACTCTGTTTGAGAAAATAGCCTGTCTTTATTACTATTTCCTTACATCTCTCAGACTTTAATGGGATATCATGCCACTCTCCTGCTAAAGTCTGCCACTACCATAGAGTTTATTAGAGACCAGATATTTTCTCAAGTCAATGTTTCCCTGAAAAGGTATCGTTCAATGAACAACACCATCTTTACTGTCTTTATAGGAACCACTGTCTCCATTCCTAAGAGGAAGCCATTTCTTCCCGGGAAACAATGTTATTTATGAAAAAACAATAAGAAAAGTGGAGAAGCTAAATATGGATCAGGTATGTAAATTTGTTTTAAGGCTTATTTCATAAGTGCACACTTTTGAATTATGAGTGTTTTAGTGGAGCTAAAATGGCATTTAAATGTCGAGTAGTAGGCCAGACCAGTATGAGTATAATAGTTACCTGTTATGTCTACAGCCCTTCATATCATCGTTAACATTTTCATATCCATTTCCGCACATTATACTGATTGGAAAATCAGTATAGGTTTCCAATGAGGTAAAGATATATCAACTGACATGGAAAATCAACAGTATAATCCAAACTTGTAAAGATATCCCATGCTTTGTATGTTTCTTTTAAACTGGTCTTACAAAATAAGAATTTAAAACATTACAATTTTATCTTAATTCATTTACTATAAAATAAAATATTCAATGACGATATATGAACAGACATGTAAAATACTGTATACAGTAAAACATCTAGATAAGTAAAACTTCAAATCACATTTAAAAAATTCCATGACATATAGAGGCCCAGTCCTTCAAAACAAGGATGTTGCTGTAACCAGCAGAAGTTTCCACATGATCTGCTTAGTGGATTCAAGCATGTCTACCCTGACAAAGCCTAAGAATTATGTCTTGGACAGTTTTGAACTAGACAGTGTATTCATTTCTTAGGGTTGCTGTTATGAACTGCCACACTCTGAGTGGCATAAAACAACAGAAATTTATTGCCTCACAGTTCTGAAGGTTAGAATTATGAAATCACAGTGTTGGCAGGGCTGCACTCCCTTTAAAACCTTTGGGGAAGAAACTCTTCCATACCTATCTTCTAGTTTCTGGTTTCCTTAATTGTTCCTTTACTTGTAGATGTACAACTTTAATTCTCCACTTTAAATGTTATCTTGGCTGTGTGTCTTCACATTGTTTCCCTCCGTACATCTCCATCTCTGTGTCTAAATTTTCCCCTTTTATGAGGCACTTGTCCTGTTGGATTAGGATCCATCTTAATGACTTCATTTTAACTTGATTATACCTCTGTTTCTGAATAAAACCTCAGATTAGGACTTTAGCATATCTTTCTGGGGAAGCAGGAGCACAATTCAACCCCAAACAGGCAGTTAAATTATACTGAATGAATTTGGATCAAAAATCATTTTTCATATACAAATGAAACATTAAAATAGTACTAAATGTTTCCTTTTAATTTTCTTGGCATGAAAACATGTGTTATTTTTGTGAACATTTATGAGCAGTTGTTACCAGATTGATAGGAACTAATGCATATTACTTATATGATGCCCAATAAAAATTAAACAGAGGAAACTCTTAGAATCCAAGTCTTTAAGATTCTGGGCTCCTTGGAAAGCTGGATAGAGTCTGAAGAGTACAGTACACAGATCTTCTAGAAGAGCAGTAAAATATTTCTCTTTTGTAAAGATGTTATTTGTTCAATTTTAGAAAGAGAGGAGAGGAGAAAGAAAGAGAGAGAAACATCAATGTATGAGAGAAACATCAATGGGTTGCCTCTTGGCCCACAGCCCAGGCATGTGCCCTGACTGGGAATCAAACCATCAACCCTTTGGTTTGCAGACCAACACTCAATCCACTGAGCTACACCAGCCAAGGCTTTTTCTGACCATTATGATACTAAATACAAAAATTTCATCTATTATATTAGTTATTCAAGGGGTACTTTGCTCAAGCTATCAAATTATAACATTTTTTTCCTTTATCCAATTGGACTGCCAAAACAATGAATTTGGCACATTTTAAACCACAAAGAATGTTCGAGGCACACCATTTCATGCTCCTTCTAACTTCTTGTTTCAAAGAGAAGAAACACGTTTTCTAAATTTTGGTCCCTAGAGGAAAATATTGAATATCTTGTACATTATTATTGTTTTGCATTTGGAACAATTAAAGAAGAAGCCCATTAAGAGAACATTGCTGCTACTTACTATTAAGTTAAATATTTATATTTCTATTTCTCCTTTTCTTATGAGTGACTTAAATGGACTGTCATGGAGATTGCCCAAGATAAAAGGAGCCATATGTATACAACAAACTACAACTGCTTTGATGTAGTTGACTTTTCTCATTGATAGAAATACAGTAGAATGTACTATGCAGCTGTTAAAAAAAGGAGAAATTGTTACATTTTGTGACAACATGGATGAACCTGGAGGTTATTAGGCTAAGTGACATAAGCCACACAGAGAAAGACACATACCATATGATTTCACTCATATGTGGAATCTAATGAACAGAATACACTGAGGAACAAAATAGATACTGAGACGTGGACACATAGATCGGAATGACAGCTGTCAGAGGGGATTGGGACTGGATGAAAGAAAGTGAAAGGATCACTCAAAGAACATATATGAACCAAAGTGTCGCAGGTTCGATTCCCAGCCAGGGCACATGCCAGGGTTGCAGGCCATGACCCCCAGCAACTGCACATTCATGTTTCTCTCTTTCTCTCTCTCTCTCTCCCTCCCTCCCTTCTCTAAAAATAAATAAATCAATCTTAAAAAAAAAAGAACATATATGCATGAACCACAGACACAGACAGCAGTGTGGGGACAGCCAGAGGGAAGGGGGGTAGGCTGGGTGGAGGAGGGCAGAGGTGATGGTGGGGTGGGGAGATAGAGTCATCTATCATAGTGTCAATAACATATATAAAGGAAAAACTAGAAAAATAAATGCAGTAGGATGAGCTGGATAAAGCCAGAATCTGGATGAACCTGCTTAATGTGACATGAGACCAATTCAAATAAGACTAAGTCTTAGAAGATGAGAGCTGTTCAAAAAAGAGGTCTTTGTCTTGGAAGGCTGGTAAAGTGGTATCAGTTGCAAGACATCAGCCCATTCATATGAATTGTACTGTGTGTATTTTTCTCTATCAGACAAAATATGATACATCAGAAGTGTTTGATCTTCTATATATTAAAAATTCAGTTTTTGGTGTGCTTCAAAAGTATGAGTAACCTATGAATATTTTGCTTTGTAACAACAATTTTAGTAGTCAGGTGTGACAATTGAAAACTGAAAACCTGCTGAGACTTCAGTGGTACCAATGAGCCCAACTAGGCTTGGGGAAATCACAAGGCAGCCCAGATGGACACCCTGTCGCCATTCTATTCAAGAGGCAACTGATACTTAGTAAAAGAAGATGAATGAGAAATGGGTTTTGTTTTCTTTGTTGTCTTATATCGATAAGTCCTTTCAAAGTGTTTCCTAACTTGGTTTTTTTTTAAGAAACATATTGTTTCAGGAACATTTTATTTCAGTAGTATACAAGCTCCCCACTGACTAAAAGTTTTCTCAGTCACTCTGACTTTACCCTAATCCAGTCCATGAAGGTAGTTTGTAACATAAAAGAACAGATAATATGTTTGCCCCCTAAATTTTCGTAAAACTTCCAGATTAATATACAGTCAGACTTCTAAACTGTAGATATCTTAGTGCTAGCATATTTGTCCAGTTATATTTCAATATAACCTAGAGAAAATGATTCAATGACCTGATTCTATGACCTTTACTATCTAAATGTCTACCAAGGCAGTTTATATTTGTAAAATGTGTTTCTTTATATATTTTTCTTTCTTTCAATATTTTTGTACACATGAAAAGATAATTTACACCCATAGTTACAAATCTCAAAGCATAAAATATATAAGAAGCTACAAAAAGTATAAAAAGAGAATAAAAATGTATACAGTTAAAAAAATAGCCTTTCTATCCTCATCCTTTTGTCCCTAAGTTCCACTTTGCAGAGGCAGTCACTCTCAAAGTTGTCCAGCTCTATGTAATTAAAAGCTGCCATATATATATTTGTAAGTATCTGTGGCACATTTTTTAAAATGTTATACAGAAGGAGCACACTACATTCATTCTTATGCATCTTGCTTTTTCCATGTAACACAGTTTGAAGTTGTTCCTTATAACAAATGGAAGATTGAAGTGTTTTCCTTTATGAATACAGGTCAGCTTTTGACAGTCAAAGGAAATCAAGCATTGAATTTATACCTTTACAGTTAATTGTCTGTGCATGAATGTAACACCATGATTCAAGAGAGATTTTTTCCTTTGAAAACTTTCGGAAAGTCCCCAAACTGTAACAACCAGATATCTTTTTTTATTCTGTGCTCTGTACTTATGAGGAAAAAAAAACTGCCATGACAAATGAACAAGTAGATAGCAAAGATTTAGTTTTTTAAAACTTTCAGAATATTTTAAGCACAGTGCAAATTCATCGTAATCCTCTGAAAGGACTGTGATCTAGTAATCATGAGTTCCAGTTCCAATTTTGCCACCAATTACTTGTGTCATTTTAAGATAATCATCCAGTAGTTCATTTTCTGCTCATAGCAACCCAATGTGACACATACTATTTCTTTAAAAAAAAAGAAAGCTGAGGCCCATAAAGATTGCATATGCAATTTCCCAAGATCACACAGTAAATTATAAAGTTAAATTTAAAGTCCATAGTTTATGGATCTGAAGATTCTGTCACTGCTTTTGAATATTTTTCCTTAATACATGCTTGATTTCCATAAGCATAAGAACTTTGCCCACCCCTACTTTGATTCCTAATATTCAAAATCATATACTATATTATCTTCTAATTTTATACCCATGTATAGCTTCAGTACTTTAGTATTATAGTATTATTATACAATTAGATGAAGAATGATTTAATATTAATATTCATTATACTTTTAGCAATAACTGTAAGCATAATATTAATTTATTCAGAACCTGCAAATCCCTGGCCAATTTAGTTAAGTATTTGGCTGGTCACATCCACCTGATCAAATACTAATAAAATTCAATAAAATTTCCCCTGATGGAATAGTTTGAAATTGATCAAAATAAACAAACAGAATAGAAATAGACCCATAGATACAGAGAACAGACTGACAACAATCGGGGTGGGGATGGGGAGCTGGGTGAAAAAGGTGCATTAATAAATTAATAAATAAAAGAAAACTCATGGACACAGACAACAGTACGGTGATTATCAGAGGAAAATGGGGGTGGAGGAGGTAGAACAAGGTAAAGGGGGATAAATGGTGATGGAAGGAGACCTGACTTTGGGTGACGAACACACAATACAATATACAGATGTGTTATAGAATTGTACTCCTTAAACCTGTATAATTTTATTAACCAATGTCACTCTAAGGAACTCAATAAAATTATTTATTTATTTTTTATTGTTGTTCAAGTACAGTTGTGTCCATTTTCCCCCCGCTTCCCACCGTCAATCCCACCCCCTTTTGGCTTTGTCCATGGGTCCTTTATATATGTTCCTTGATGACCCTTCCCCTTCTTTCCTCCATTATCCCCCACCACCTTCCCTGTGGTTGCTGTCAGTTTGTTCTTTACTTCAATAAAAATGTTAAATAAATAAAAAGAAATCATTATATATCACTTAGTAATGCTACGAACCCTAAGGCTTGAATTATCTTCTGAAAGAATACATTCAAATTTTAAAAATAGTTTCAGTTGGGTTATTCTTGATCAGTAATTTTTCTTCTCTGTGGCTCTTTTGTCATGTGTTTGTGTTTCAGGAATGCTGTCCTCAGGTTCAGTGCCATCATCACATCGTCCAACAGCCACAGATCATCCACTCTCCACACTGTCAGCAGTCCCATTGTAGCCAGCAAGTGCAAACCATCACAGGAAGTGATTCAATATCTACAAGCAGTGGAAATGACCTGTGCCATGGTGAATCAAGCCATATACATGAACAGGTAAGGTTAACCCGCTGATACCTTACAAAATTGAAAGAGCACTCTTAAACCCTTCTCACTCCCTTGTATAAGTACCCATATTAAATTTTCATAAAAATCTTGAAGAGTTATACCACTGCTATTTGTATTTCATTACAGCATTAAAAAAATACATTTCCCTTTCCGTTCAGAAAACAAAATAATTCAGGTCTATTAGTACATTAAATCTATGAAGGAAGTCATGAATTGATTAATAAATACCTAATTCCTAGCCAATCCTCAGTTTTAAATTGAGTCTAAGGGTTGTAAACATTAAATATTTAAAACAGCATTCAATATTTTCATAAGGTATGGTACTTAAATGAACAACAAACTGCAAATGATATTGAAGATGATTGTAATGGCCACATTTCATAGGTTGGTAATTACTTCCTATATGACTTCTTTGAAAATATGGTATATTAAGTCAAGTTAGAATATGCCTACATTTTATTGTATATTACATCCACAAAATAGAAACTAAAACTTAGTTGCTAAGGACTAATTTCTTGGGATACAATTGTCAGTGACTAATTAATGTTCTGAAGACTTTGGAACCTTGTGTAAACATCTGTTATGCAAGTGTTAAAGAAAAAAAGATTTTCTTGCATCTTCATAAGACTAACAATAATACCTGGAACGATGGGGAATCAATATCATTTGGTTTTTGCAGTAACAATAACTTGCTCATATTGACCCTTTCATAGGCAACTCTTACTAAAAGACAAAGGAAAAGAATACAAAAAATAAAAAATAAATAACGGAGCTTGTCCACATACAAATTTGATTGTTTTATATTAAGTATATATGAGATTAGTTGTAAGGACTTTGATTTTGAAATATGCACTTTAGCCATATTGGTCTAAAAGAGCCAGAAATAATTTTAAAAATCCACATTTTTCTAATTTAAAAAGGCCTATAATGATCTTTTCTCTGGATATCATGTATGGAAATACTGACCTTTAGAATTACTGTGAGACATGGTCCAGATGGTGTTGAATTTCTTATAATAAATGAATTAATAATAATCATTATAAACAATCTTATTAGGTTAATTCATTTGAAATTGTCATTTTATGGGTCAAAGTTGGTCAAACAGCAAGCATATCATACAGTTCAATCTAATACTTCGCTTTGCTTCAGTTTCCTCAGATTCATCATCCATTTCTTACAGGTTATTCTAAGAATAAATTATACATTGTATGTTAAGTGCTTACCATAGTTGAATGCCAATGGTAAGCACTTAACAAATGGTAATTATTAGTTTTTAGTAGTAATTACTCTTTAGTAACATTAAAGTTTCATGCCAGGTATTACAAAAATACAGAAGTGGGTAAAAACATTGTCACATTTCTTATAGGTTTTTACTGTCTAACAGGGGAAAGTGGCAAACACGTAAAACATAATACAAAGCAAAGTATTGTCTCTCATAAAAGAGGAACAAGCAATGTGCTTTGGCAACAGAAGAAAGAAGAAATTAATTTCAGCTGGGAGGTCAAGACAAGCTTTGTTGAGGAGGCAGGAATTGAACTGGACTTTGAAGAGTGAGCAAATTTTTCTATGTGGTATTATGTTGTGGCATGGAGCTGACATCCAAAGAGGGAATTACATGAAAAAGGTTGTAGGTTTGGAAATTTACATTTTGGGTTTCAGGAATATGTTTTCAGTTAGTGGTTTGCTTTGTATGGAAAGGAAGGCATAGACTGAAAAGTGGTACATTATGAGATCCAAATGTTAAGCTTAAAATTTTGAACTTTATTTGGTACGCAATGGAGAGTGAGTAAAGGTTATTAAGTAGGAAAATACTGATATGTGTGTTTCAGGCGGTTAATCCTAGCAGCTTTGTGCTAGATTGGAATATTGATTAAATTTCTTCTCACAGTGATCAGATGAAGAAGGTGTCATTGTTACCCTTATTGCTCAGATAAGGCAACAAAAGTTTAGAGAGCTTAAGCTACTAGCAAAAGGCTTGCACAGCTAAGCTTGTGGTGAAGCCAAAGGTGTATGTAGGTAGCTTGACTTCAGAGCTGATTGAGAGTTCCCTCTTGAGGTTGAATCAATAGTGTGGAGTGTCCTTGATCAATAGTGTAAAAATAAATAGAGCACCAGTTTAAGAATCCGCTAGCAGGAAAATATTGGTGATATTACAAGCAGTGGACTAGCTTCAGTGTAGGAAGACCTGGGTTCCAATTCCAGTTCTGTCCCTTTCAAGCTGTGTGTTCATAATAAATACTAAATTTCTGAGAAACATTCTTGTCCATAAGATTTTTGCAGTCATGTCTACTTCACAGTATGGATGTAAACATATTTCAGTGAAAATGTATGTTCAAAATGCTTCTTTAACTATAGAGTCCAGAACATGGAAAATGCCATAGAGAAGGATTTACAGAGAGAATATTATCATTAGAAGCTATTTCAGAAGTCTAAGTGTAAACCTTAAACTAGAATAATCACAGTAAGAAAGGAGTGAGGGACAATTATCAGAGATGAGAATAATACCATAGGGTTAAAAATCTTGTCTAGTGACAATGGTGATGCTATATTCTTTCATTAGGTCAGTACAACTAAAAATATATTTGACCAGACCAGATATTGTATATTCCGAAAATGGATAGAGTTGGGTAACTAATACATTACTTTCTACTTTTTAATTTATGCTTCAGTTTGAGATCTGTTAAATGCTGCAGGCTCTTTCTAGAAATTGGAAAAATTTCTAGAAAAACTAGAAATATTTTATGAGGGTAAAGATGAAGTGCTGCTGAAAATAGAACAGTGTCTTGCCAAGTTTAAAGCTAGTAATTCCACATGTCTGAGTTACGTAGGATCTCTGTCAGAGTGGAGACAGAGTGACCTGGTTGTGCAGATCCCATGGACAAAGGATGACAGGGAGTAAATTCTCTCACCTACACTCCTTGGTGTTTATATGTCTCTTCCACACAGCACAAGAGTCTCTTTAAAGAATAATAGAGCAGCCCTGGCTGGTGTGGCTCAGTGGATTGAGTGCCCGACTATGAACCAAAGGGGCACTGGTTTGATCCCCAGTCTAAGGCACATACCTGGGTATCGCCTCAGACACCCAGTAGGGGGCGTGTAAGAGGCAACCACACATTGGTATCTCTCTCCTTTTCTTCCTCCTTCCCTTCCTTTCTCTAAAAATAAATAAATAATATCTTTTAAAAAAGTAATAGAGCAGAAGTAAGTTAGGCTCTTTTACAGCTAAAGATTGGCCCATTTTTAGTTTGTGTTTAGAGTTAAATTGTAATTGGAGGTAGCATAATAAGGCAGCAAAAATTCAGCTCAGCTCATTTTACAAATTGTCATACAGGTGGTGTTTATAAGAAAGACAAATAATTATGTATATCGTATGTGCAACTCTTTTCCACTTGCCTTGCGGCTTCCAAGAAACCTTTTGGAGTCATGGGAAGATATAAAAAGAACAGTCCTGCTTACTTGGATAGTGCTATTGCCAAAGGAAAATACTCCAACTTGTGATGCTCTTTCATTTGAAAATTCAACTTTTGTCAACACCAAGACAGCACAGAGCTCAGTGTCAGGTGTTTTTTCTGGCAAGTATCCAGGAACGTTGCCACAAAGTTTGTTTAACATAAGTCCTCCACTAATGGTGGACTCTCTGGGCTGTTTAACCCTGTAAACTCAGCAGTTATGCCTGTTCCCTTCCTTATTAACACATGGCTCATGCCTCTCCCCATATGTATTGCTTTCTTCACCCCCATTACTGAAAATGAGTGTCTTTTGTACAGATCTCTTTCCCCTGCCACTCCTTCCAAAAATTTAATTCATCTCTGTTTTGGGCCCATGTTTTCCCAATACCTCCTTTATCTGTTTCCCACTACCTCCTGCTTTGGTGCCCTTTTGAACTCTTGTTTTGTGGCAAACAAGAGTTGTTATTTATTAGCTCTTTAAAAATTAGTTTGAATTTGGAATTAAAATAATACATGTATAGTGCTTAAAGGTCAACTAGTACTAAAGGTATATAAGAAACAGCAGTTCCCTGTTACAACTCTCTTCATGCACACCTGTTCCCAGAGGCAATGATTTTCAACTCTTTGCTTTTTCTTCTGGTATTTACATCAATATAGCTAAATAGTATGCACATACTTATGCTGCTATTTCTTGATTTACTGCTGTTGTATATTATCTCTTGATAATTCTCATACATAGAATTTAGTTCCATAAATCCCCATTTTTGGCTAAGTCGGTATTCAGTGTTTATATTACTATTCCAATGAAAATATTAATTCTTGCTAAACCAATTTGCACATTATTTGGCTTCTTATATTAGCATAACTATTTTTGCTGGTGTTACTATTTTTTATTTATTTAGTTTCCTATGTATTTATTGCTAATTCTTTTCACAACGCAATTTCATACAGTCAAGTATTCTGGATTTTGTTTATCATCTCTCTTTAAAACCCTGCAATCCACATACACAGCCCCTCTTGGCTTGTGTTACCACTATCTATTGACCTTCTAGTCACTCTCTCAATCCTTCCACAGTTTCATCAGCAGGCTTACAATCTTCTCCATTTCCCGTGGACCCCTGACCTGCAATTATCTATGAGAATTTCACCCCTCATGTCAGTGATATTTCCCATACTCTGTCCTCATGGTTCTTCACTATCCTCATTTTTTTTTTCATTTTTACTATATCTGCAGCCTTCATAGACTGTGATACCAATCCTTTAAATATCTTTCTATCATTATTCCATTAGACAAATGCCCTTATGCCCTACATTAAATAAAACCATTATTTATATGATGGTTTAACATTTTACCAAAACAAAGTGCAATAAAGATACTTCCACCAACTTTATAACACAAGTAGTAAATTACCTACATTTTACAGTTGAGGAGACTGTACTTCAGAGAGTTTAAACAATATATTTAATCTACACTTAGGAAGTGGGACCTGCAGTTTTGGCTCCAATTTCCACCCTTTTGTCACTACAATGCTTTTCTGT